CTCGGTTCATTGCTGTGGTCTCCTCTGGCCCCTCTCCAACAGCTCCATGTCTGTCCTGTGCTGAGGGCTCCAGAGCTGGACTTCATACGGGCCCACCTCTCAAGTCTGTCCAGGTCCCTCTGGACGACATCCCTTTCCTCCAGCATGTCGACCGCACCACACAGTTTGGTGTCATCAGCAAACTTGCTGACGGTGCACCAGATCTCACTGTCCACGTTGCCAACAAAGACGTTAAACAGTGCCAGTCCCAGTACCGACCCCTGGGAAAGCCACTCCTCACTGCTCTCCATGTTCACTGGTCTCCACTGGTCTCACGCCTCCAAGTTGCATGTTTTGAAGAAATATCTTGACTGCAATTCAACTGAAATAAAATGGCATAATTTTTTTTTTAGCTATAAAGAACACAGATGAAGTATGGTACTCATGCAGAAGAAGACTTAAATGCATTATTTATGTTCTTCCAGAATTAGGATTCACTTGAAAACTCAACAGGTTTTGATGTAGACTTAAAGCAACTCTACTCAAAATCACAAGTTAACCTCACAATCTCCCTTGCTTCTCCCTCTGAGTTCATTTTCACACCACGGTTGTGTTAAAACATGATGTTGAGGTTGTAATTGTGTTGAAAGTAACTAACCATTTGGTGTGGAAGCAGATTATTGTTTTTAGCACCGTGTTGGCTAGTTACGGTTTGAACTGACCTCAGCATGACTGCCTCTGCTTCTGCAAGCCTGGATGAGCAGCTGAACTTCAGGAGGTAGCTAGGAAAACGGATGGCCTTGGAGGTGGAAACCAGCTTAAGAAGTCCTTTTTCTCTTCCTCACTCATTTTCACTCTGCAGTTTGCTGTGTCTCCAGTCAAACCGGTGTAATTATTTGTGAACTGAGGATCTCAGTACATATGACCCCTGGCCAGAACTAACGTGTGGCCTGCCACAAAATGCTTATTAGATTGTATCGTACTAAATTAGGTTCTTTAAGTTTTTCCCACACCACACAGCTGACGGCTTCCCCCGAGCAGGCAGTGGGACGAGCAGTCCGCGGCTGAGGGACAAGGTTTCTAACATTGCACTCGTAGATCTGTATTATTAGATCTTCCATTAATTGGACCAACTATGTCTCAAAAAATGTGTGGATGTTGCACTCCAGGACATGGTTTAGCAGGCATGGTGGTGGTGGGTTGATGGTTGGACTTGAAGGTCTTCGAGGTCTTTTCCAACCTTCATGATTCTGTGATTCCAAAGCAGGGAGCAGGGCTGCCTCCCTCAGCCACCCCCAGCACCAAGCCTGAAGCTGCCCAGACCGAAAGCATCCGACATTTTGTCTGTTTGTTTGGATTTTTATTTTCTGGGTTTTTTTACTTCTGAAATTGTTTTAAACAGGATCAGTCTCCTC